CTTTACCATAGCTCTTGCGTAATAACCTGCTCTGTGTAATATCTGTCTCCCCAACTAGACTAAAAGCCTATGGATGGTACAGATTGGGGTCCAGAAATTTCTATGTCCCTGATACTATGTCCTCTAATAACACAGTATAAATGGTTCCCAAAAGGTACTGATGATTCTCATTATAAAAAACAACTATTAAAAAAAAAACAAACTACAGGGCCGGCCAAGTGGCTTGTTGGCTAAAAGTTGGCTTGGGAGCTTGAGCTCTGAGCGGCATAGCCACCGGTTTGGATCCCACATGGGCCAGTGATGCTGCACCCTCTACAGCTAAGATGGTGAACAACAGCTCAACCTGGAGCTGGGCTGCCATGAGTTGCTAGTGATGGAGTAGGCTGCAGTGAAGCTGCAGTGGGCTGCCATGAGCGGCTGTCCAATGGCCGGCTACCAATCTGCCTCAGGCAGGGAAGAGCGCAATGATCACAATACCAACATGGGCCAGTGAAGCAGTGTCCTCCATAACGAGACTGAAGAACAAAAGGACAGCAACTTGTCTGTTTCCCTTCCCCGATTCCCCAATGCTGTTCCCTCCCCCAACTCCCCAATAAAATCTTTAAAACAAAACAAAACAAAAAACTACAGGGTGCCCTAAAAGACACTCTCTACATTCCTCCAGTATTCAACTTTGTTTCTAATTCATGCTCTCTCTAGTCTCTGAAAATCGGTATTTTCTGTTGTTGTGTGATAGAGCCTAAGACCATAGCCGGGGCGGCTGAGTGGCACGTTAGTTAAGAGTTGGCTTGGGAGTGCAAGCTCTGAACAGCAGGGCCCCAGTTCAGATCCCACATGCAGTCCAGTGATGCTGCACCCTCTACAGCTAAGATGGTGAACAACAGCTCAACCTGGAGCTGGGCTGCCATGAGTTGCTAGTGATGGAGTAGGCTGCAGTGAAGCTGCAGTGGGCTGCCATAAGCTACCGTGAGTGGCCGGCAGCCAGCGTGGGTGGCCGGCAGCCAGCGTGAACTGCCGTGAGCCGCCATGAGCGGCTGTCCAATGGCCGGCTACCAATCTGCCTCAGGCAGGGAAGAGCGCAGTGATCACAATACCAACATGGGCCAGTGAAGCAGTGTCCTCCATAACGAGACTGAAGAACAAAAGGTCAGCAACTTGTCTGTTTCCCTTCCCCGATTCCCCAATGCTGTTTCCTCCCCCAATTCCCCCAATAAAATCTTAATAAAAAAAAAAAGACCATAGCTGGATAGGCTTTTCACTCTGATGGATTCACCAGAGGGTCATCTTTGGAGTGTACACACACACACACATACACACAACCCAAACAACCAAGAATAGGAGTCTAATTCATAACTCACTACTCCTAGGGGTAACCAAACACAGTGGTGCTTGCCTGATCCTGGACAGTAAGGGTAACAAGCAGAAACAAACTGCTCTCTCAGCTGCCCCTAAGAGACAAGTCTCATGTACAAATTGTAATAGTTCCTCCTAGAGCTACAGGTAAAAAGCCTGTATGTGGTTATTGCCACTTCTTGATGGAGCTCATGAACTGAATATTTTTAAAGCCACACTACTTCCTACTTCCTTCTAAGTAAACTATTAGCATTGCCACTGCACAAATCCATTTCTTAGAAGTAATTACAAATTTAGACTGAACAGCTATGACTGACAGGCTTTTCACTCCTGAAAGCAGTATTGCTGTAACCACTGATATGTGAATCTTGCAAAGGCAATACTACTTTCAGGAAGCAGTCTAATAGGAAACTAGGGATCTTTTTTGCCTCTATCACAGACTCAGGATTATTTGGGAAAAGGCATCCCACCTGGAACGTGTTCCCGCTACTTTGAATCCCTTCTGTGAGCCCTGGTCTGAGAAGCCCAGACTGATGGCTCCTGTTGAGATCAAGGGCAGAATCTATTTTACAGACTGGGAACACTGAGGTCCCGAGGGCATTGAAGTCATTTGGAGGGGTGGGACAACACTGGGTCTGGGACTCAAAATCTCAGCTCTTGATGTTTTGGCTTCTGTGCTATCAAGTGCATTCTCTGAAAAAGGACCAGGAAGCGGCTACTCTGACAGGCTGCATGCTAGGTGTGAGACACAACACAATAGAACAAATAATATGAAGTGTACACGACTAAAGTATAAGTAAGTCTTTTATTGTCCTTAAAGAAATCAAACTCAGACCCAAGGTTGGCAATGAGGAGATAATCTGGAAACCTCAAAGCCCTACTCTGCCCCTTTAGCCTTATTTCTCCCTCAGGGTTTCTTATTCTTATGGTCACTGTCACCACCATACAGATTTGGGTGGGGCCTGCTCTGGCCTAGGTTGAGGCATACAACTTTCTCCCTAATCATTTCAACATAGTTACAATGAGGCTGAAACATTCAGACAAAAGTTCAGAGATGACAAAAGGGCAATGAACACAGATAGCCTCTCCTATTGGATGGTCTGGCTTGTAAAATTCACTTGTTTTTCTTCAATTTGAGATTTGCTACAGTGCACTTCCAAGCCTATCTCCAGTTTGCAAACTCATTTGTTCTCACCACCTGGAAGTATCTTCAATACCTCCTTAAAGTTCAGACCCAAGAAAGCACAGCCCAGAGACACAGTTCTTTCTCCTGAATTCCTGTTTTCTCATCTCAAGCCACTGACACTGGGAATACATACTCCCTATTAGGAAAACCAAAGGATAGTGGTCCTATGGTCCTATGGGTCCAAAAAGGTTACAGTCATTTTTACAACATGACAAGCCCAGACAAAACCACACGTGGATACAATCACAATGGAATACAGTGCTGTGGGAGCACAGAAGAGAATATGATGAGGTCTTAGGAACTCACTGGGGGAGCTTTCCTCCAGAAAGTCTAGCGATATTTCTTCTCTCTGAAAACCTATTGCCTATGGCTGAACACTCAATTGTAAAATGCTGTGGGCTGTTTTGAAATTATTTCCCAACAAGACTATAAGTACCGCTAGGTCAGAAATTGTCCTTTTGTAATATTCCTTCATCCATGGTGCCAGGCACAGGAGACACTCATGTAGGTGTGGGGGAAATATCTGTATGACTGATAAATAACTTGTCATGATCTCCCTCCACCTTGGAGGAAATAATGCTGAGTAGGAGGCAAAAATTTGATTTTGGCTGCTTGCCCGAGGCGAGAATAGGCTATCAACTTAAGGCAGTGTCTAAATTGAGACAACCCCACCCATTCGCCTGGAACAAGCACAGTTTTCTTAGTCTTGATTTTTTTATAACATTCTAGGGGATGAGAAAAGGCTGGTGGAGGGAAAAGATACAATGTTCCATGTCCCAACTGTCCAAGTGTCCAGTCCTTGCTGATGAAGATAAAGGGCTCCTCACAACTAGGCCTCAGCTCATCACCAGATTCCATTTGCCAGTCCTAGTGCTCCTTCAGTAACAGTGCAGTTGACTACAAATGGTCCTGCCACAACCAGGGGTGCTACAGTCACCTCCCAAAGCTATTTTCTGTGAAGCAGTTTATAAACCAATGACCAGGGTCTCTCAGGGACAGTACTGCTGTTTGAAACACCAGAACCATTCTAGTGTCAGTAGCCAGAGACTGACTGCTCTAGGCCTATTGGCTCTGAATGCACAGCCTGCATTTGTTTCCTTTGCAAACTTTTTCTTTTTCTTTATTTTTTTAAAGATTTTATTGGGGAATTGGGGGAGGGGAACAGGTAAGTTGCTGTCCTTTTGTTCTTCAGTCTAGTTGTGGAGGACGACGTCGCTTCACTGGCCCATGTTGGTATTATCATTGCGCTCTTCCCGGGTGAGGCATATCGGTCGCTGGCTTCTGGATGGCCGCTCACGGAGGCTCTTGGCAGCTCACGCAGGCTGCCGGCCACTCACGGTAGCTTACGGCAGCCCACTGCAGCACGGGCTGCAGCCTACGCCGCCGCCGGCGACTCACAGCATCCCAGCTCCAGGTCGAGCTGTTGTTCACCATCTTAGCTGTTGAGGACAGTGTCACTAGCCCTCATGTGGGATCTGAACCAGGGCCCTGCTGCTCAGAGCTGGCGTCCCAAGCCAGCTCTTAACCAAAGTGCCACTCGGCTGGCCCCACAAACTTTTTCTTATAACAGGTTCCCTTACCCCTCATCGTCCATGACAGAAGGGGTGTAGAAGTATGTGTGTACATGTATGTGTATGTGTATGTGTTGAGGGTAGGGAATGAAATGACAGCTATTCGTGAGCAGGTACAAAACTCCCATGTACCTCCCTAGAAGACTTTAAATCAGCTCTTGGACTGAAGTCATATTAGACGATTTATACTTCCCACATCAATGATCAAATGGTATTATTTATATAATAAGCCTTGTCCCAGTGGTGTCCTGGGCCACTTGGCCCTGAGTTGTCTGCCTTGTAGCATGGCCAGCTTCCTCTAAAAGCAACTCTTTTCTAACCTGGTCACACAGCAATTTGGACAGCAAGAGAATACTACAGAGACCAGCTGACGCCAGAGAGGAACTGGCAGGATGGCAGAAACTCAATCACACAGACAGAAAATGGGTCAGTACATTATGGCCCTTAAAACCTGCACTCAAGTGACTGAAAATCACTGAACTCCTACTCTCAGTTAAGAGCTACTTCCTGGGGGTCATGAGAGAGTATACTAAGAGGCAGGCTCCCACATTGTCTAGACTGCTATCACTCCTATAGAGCAAGAAACTCTTAACCCTCCTCATGCTATCTGCTCCTGCAACACCCGTATTTAGGAGACTGAAGTCAAGTGTGAAGGTTTTCAAGATGTATGTGTTGCTGGCTCAACACTGAAAGGTACCTACTGGGAGCCGAGATTGGCTTTTGAAGGACTAGCTATACAGAGTAATAAGTTAAATCCTCTATAATTAAATGTTAAATCTATAAGCCATCTCCATCATTCTGAATCTCATTAATGACTGGTTTCTTAACAAAGCTTTCTCGGTAAATGGAAGATAGCGTCTCAAAGGGTTGTGCAAGTAAAGCCTTCGTACCTTAGATGTGAGGTCCCGATGGAAAATGCCTTTGAAGTGAAGGTAGCTGAGGCCCACTGCTATGTCATAGGCCAGTTTCACCCTCACAGTCCAGGGCAAATGCAGGTTACTGTCTAGCAACTGTTCCAGGTTCCCAGAGTTGATATACTGCAAAACAGAAGGAAAACCCAGCTACCATTTGTCTGGTTGTGAAACCACTAGAGAATAAACACCAAGAAGACAGAGACTGTATGTTCTTGTTTATTTTTAAGTTACTGAGGGCTTATTCTGCATCCGGGCACTATGATAGATGCAAACACACAAAGATACTTTCCTTTAAGGAGATCACAATCTATTAAGGGATATAGACAAACAATATCATGTGGTAGACACTAAAATAGAGCCATGTATGTGTACAACAGCACTAGGCAATGCAGAGAATAAAGTTACTCACTCAATCTGAACATGTCAGAGAAAGCTGCATAGAGGAAATAAGGAGTCAAAGGATAACCTGGGGGAGCAGGAAAGAAAGACAGACCACACAGAGGGAGCAGCATATGCGAAGATACAAGTTAAGTGCATGGTGCGTATAGGAAACGAATTTACTCGATATGGCCATAGTACATGAATAGGAAAGGCAGGTGAAGCTGATATGCTTTGCTAAGATACTTTATCCTGCCTATAAGGAACAAAAGAAAGCCTTTCAAGCAGAAGAGCAACATGTTCATGTGTGCTTTTTTAAAGAACAGATTATTTTAGCAATGGTATGATAGATGGATTAGAGTGGAGAACACGGAGAGGGCAAAATAGGTTAGGAGATTGTTACAATAATCCTGGAGGAAGAAGGGTGCCTGAGTTATGGCAATAGTGGAGGCACTGGAATAGAGCGAGATTCAAGATGTATTTAGATGTATTTAGATGACTGCCTGGATGGGGGCCGGACGAGGGCAATGAAAAGCTATAGGCTGATCCCAAGCTACTGGTCCCTGGATGCCATTATCAAATATCCAGAATATAGGGACAGAAGCAGGTTTTCAGAAGAAGAGGCAATGTTAAAAGATTGTGAGTTCAGCCGGGGTATGTTGAATTTAAAGGCTTGTAGGGCAACCAAGGTGGGAAGTCAGTTTAAAGTTCAAGAACAAAGTCTGGGCTAATGACTAACATTTAGGAGGCAATAACATTGAGCTGGAGTAGTCACTAAGACCAAGGAATGTATGAAATTGCCCAGGGACTAATATGTAAGGTGGGAAACTAACATTTAAAGGAGCAGGCTGAAGAAGAAGAATCAAGCAAGAATGTCATCATAGAAGTCAAAGAAGGAGAACATTCCAAAGAGGAAAATACCCAAGGTATCAAAAACTATAGATCAAGTAAGATGAGCATTAAAAGTGTCTACTGAATTTGTAAGTAGGAAGTCACTGGCAACCATGGCCACAGCAGTTTCAATAAAATTGTTAAGACCAGAGTAAGACCAAAGTGAACTGAGGAGTGAGTAGGAGAAAAGACTATGGAGAAACAATGTGAAGATGTACTCTTTCAAGAAATTTGGCTGTTCATCATTCCTACATACCCATGAAGGGCTGCTTTTCTTTTCTTTTTTTTTTTAAGAGCAAATAAGCATATTTATATAGAGACGATAATAATAACAACAGCTAATATTCATTTATATAATACTTACTTTGTGCCAAGCACTACTCTAAAAACTTCACATTATCTCATTGAATCTGCATATAATCCAATAGGGTAAGTGGATTAATATTCTCATTTTACAAAAGGCATTTAGAGGTTAAGAAACTTGCTCAAGGTTATCCAGTTATTAAGGAGCAGAGCCAGGTTCAAACCCAGGCAGTCTGGCTCCACAGTCCATGCTCTTTAATACCACATTACACTAAAGTCAGGGGCCACAGCATCTGAGTCAGAGAGCCTCATGCAGAACACGAGCTCAAAGTGTTTTTGCCAATTAGATTATTGAATTTATTCAAACTTTACATGATGTATTATTATCTCCCTCCTCCTCCCAAGGGAGAAAAGAGGGCAAATTTCTCTAAGCCTAAAATTAACGTCTTAATACCTATTATGGGAGGTATTATTGAATTTACAAAAGACTAGGGAACCTAATGGGACGGGAGGTAAGAGATCTGAATTTTAGTCCACTTCTGCCTCTTAATAGTCATTTAACTTCGGACAAATCAACTAATAAGGCTATTCTTCAGTTTTCTCACCTATAAGCTAAGTATGATAATCCCTGATCTATAATATAACAATGTTACTATGAGAATCTAATACAAATATATGAAAAGTGCTTAGAAAAAAACCTGAAGTGCCAGATAGTCTGAGATTTTCTAACGTGGTAAAATAAGTATTGAAAAGAACCAGCTGGGGGCAGCACGATGCTGCACTTCAGATCCTAGGATGAGGAAGATCAGGTTGGGCAAGGCAGAGAGAATGGCTAAAAATACACCTAACTTCTCAAAAGGGAAACCTGTCCATCAGCTTCAACCTGCTTGATAATCCATCTTTAGAAATTTCAAAATGAGGTATGATGGCATTAGTATAGTGCCTTCGTCTCTTTATTTGACTCTAGCCACAGTTCACATTTGAGGTGCTCATTTGCTAAAAAGAAACTAAACCTGCAAACTCCAAGCTACATGGGAGCAATAAAGCGGACACCTAATCATACAGACGAATTTCTTTAGCTCTGAGAGTCAGAAAGGTCTGAGAGGTGGCTCTCTCCTTTGGCAAGGTGACAATATGACATGGAAGGCCTGACTTCAGGAGCCACTCAAGTTTTCCAACTGAAGGCCAGGCAGAAAACACCATGATGAAAAGGCTGTGTGTGCGCACACTGTCTGGAGGCCAGGCTAAGCCAGGACTTTTGATTCTGGTTCAGAGAAACACATTTTACCTCTGTTCAGCCTGAGAAATCCACAGACCAAGCCCGAGGGTAGAAAGCCGAGGAGAAAGGTGAGACAAGATGAGGAATCACATAGACTGGTAGGGGCTGGATTTTCCAGGCAAGATGGGAAAAGCACAAACCAAGACCAGGGAGGGAAACCAAATGGAGTTTATTGTCACAACCAGTTTCTCTTGCTGGCCTTTGGTGAATACTTTGGTAGGGCTGAGAACCCTCTGGGCCTTCAGAAACCACAACTTCTCAATGTCTCAAGACCTTTTGCATCTATGAGGAAAGGAAGTTTGAGATCTGCCAACAAGGAAGATTTCTAAGTTGCTACATACTATGTGTGCCCATTAGTTGGAACGTTCACTTCCCCATAAGCAACTCCCAGTGCAGACTCAGCTGGTGTGTCCTCTGAACAACTCCCTCTGCGAGAAGCAGAGGCAACAACAACTGCACTAGCACACTCAGCTTTCTGGGATGAGGATAACAGCTGCTTTGCTTTCATTTTCTTCCAGACCACTCCCTTGGGCAGCCCTACAAAACAACCTAAGGCACTGGCAATACATTAAAATAACCTACTAGAGAGAGAAGTTTTACATTTTACACTTCTTATTATTGTTCTCTTAAACTTTCCAGTTCAGAAAACTATATCAGCCACTCATATGTGTTATAGGTTCTTCAATACCTCTTAGAGACTATTCCCCAACTTTACCTACGCCCAAACCTGCCTCTCATGATCTAATAAAATGTTATAATATAACAGAGTTTCTGCCATTTCATTTGTGTTTGACGCCTGGCTTCATTAAACACTCTTTTCCTAGAAGGCACTCAATAAATAAGTGTATGTTCATGACTAAACAATATTACATACGCAAGAAATCATATGCCAACACCCTAATAAAAATCGCCAAAGGGACAGATAAGTGGACACTCAGCAATATCAATTCAGGTTATCTCTACAAACGTTTATTGAGCTTTCCTCCCCTTCCTGCCACACCCATATGATAGTAAGAACCTGTCTGTTTACATCAACATTATATCCCTCAGTGATTAGAAGAGTTCCTAGCACACAGTAAATGTGGACATATAAAGATGAATACCATTCAGTTTATATTTTAAAGAAGTACAGTGAAAGACATACAAGGTAAGCAAATTATACCAATACCCCTTTAGCAGAGGTAATTACCTGGGGTATAAAAGTAGAAACTGACCCTGCCTGAGGAGTTTAGAAAGTTTCAGAGAGGAAGTAACATGTGATTTGGATCCTAAAAGATAGTTAGGAGTTGTCTAGGCTGAGAGTATGGTCCTCCCTATGTATCCCCTGTCGGTTCTGATGGTTCCAACTCAGGCACAGACACATAAACACGCCCACACAGAGAATATTCTAGAGCAGCACGAGGCAAGACTACCACGCACTACACCCAGGGCTCCTGTGCCAATTCTTGCTGATCCTAGTCAGCTACAGCAGCGTCACCCGATCATAATCAACCAGTAAGAAGGGTAAGACAAAATGGTTGCTTTTTTTTTTTTTTACTTTGAATTATCAATGTACTGATATCTGCAACCAAACAAGCTTATCTCTAACCAATGGTTCAAACCCACATTCAGAGAAGTTCTGAAGAAAACATCAACTGTAAGAATTATTATTCCTTTTTGAAAAATCTACCCAACTGGCCTGGAGCTAGAGTGCTTACCCAAAGCAGATAAATGTGCTGCCATCTAATCATTTTTGGCCACCTAATTAGCAGGGTCATCCTGACAAAGATCCATCCATCTTTCAACCCATCCACCTACACAAACACTGAAAACCTATTACGTGAAAACACAAAGGTAAATGGGGGCCAGTCTCTGCCCTTAGTTCACAGTCCAGGAGAGATGACATATAATCAACAAACAGTTTTTTTCCCACATAGGACAATAACATGATCGGATATGCTAAATAGAAATATCATTCTAACAATAATATAAAAACTGTATGAAAAGGTCAGGAATTGAGGCTTAGAGAATAGTTGGGAGGCTCTGGAATCATCCAGGTGGGAAGTATTATAATAAAGCCCTGAATAAGACAATGGCAGTAAGAATGAAAAAGAGGTTAATATCTAGAGACATCTCAGAGGTAGAACCAACAGGATTTTGTGTTTAATCAAGGCAGTGAATAATTAAGAGATAAGGTATATGAAGTATGTCCAGCCCAGTGCTTAGCTCATAGTACACAACTCATTCTCTCCTATCAACATCTTATCATCATCACTATTCCTTCTGTGGGTTA